GAAAATTCTAAAATCTTTTCGTATTTTCATGATTTTTTGGTCTGTAGGAGTGTGTCATTAAAATGCAAATAACTCTTGCAGAGAGCCACCTTCATCTCTAATTAGCTATTAGCCAAATGAATACAAAGCCTGGAGTGAAATCCTAGAGAATACAAGAATGAAATTAAATGCAGGGATCAAAAACAAAACATCGCGGTGTGTGCATGGAGGCATGCAGTGTTTATGAAAGAGTCAAATGAAGAAAATAAGGGGGCTTGGGAAAAGGGGGTACAAGGGGGGAAAGCAAGGAGCCAGAGGGCAGCCGGACGACCAACACGCAGGGCACGTCACATCAATATTTTCATGTATTTGCTTTATTTAAAAGACAGCCTGCCCTGGCCGGTTTGGCTCAGCAGTTGGAACATCGGCCTGCGGACCAGAGAGACCCGGGTTCAGTTCCCACTAAAGGCACGTACCAAAAATAAAAATAAAAAAAATGAAGTCAGCCTGAGCACAGCATGGAGGAAGAGCAGGACGGGCTCCTGGGGGCCACACCCGATTCTTTCCTAGTGGTTAAGTCGGAGCTCAGCAAACTGACTCACTGGCCAAATTCAGCCTGTTGTCAGACCCTTAGCTAAGAATGTGTTTCTCTATTTTTAAATAGTGAAAATAAAAAGCCTTAGAGGACGAAAACTACTTCTTGCCACGTGAAAAATAAGAGGACATTCACATCTCAGGGTCTATCGACAGAGCTTTGTTGGAACGCAGCCAGTGTCATTTATTTATGGGAAGTCTTTGGTTGCTCTGGCTCTCCAACAGCGGAGTTGAGTAGGTGCATCAAAGACCACTTCCCCCTCAGAGCATGAGATACCCTGCATGGCCCTTCACAGAAGAAACGTTCCTACCCCTGCTTTCAGCTGCAAGGCTTTGCTTCACACTTGCATGGCCTCCTCAGGAAGTACAGCTGCACCCCACTTAACGCACTACGTTTCTTGGGCAGGTTAGTGATCATGTATCTTCCCTGAGCACGTGCCACAAGTTAGGTACCAGCCCCAGGCTTTTGATAGGATTCCTCAGTTACAGTTTGATTTTTTTTTGTTGTTGTTGTTAAGCTGTGCATCCAGTATCTGGTGGGAAGTCCACAATCTCTCCTACGAGTATGGAAATGTGCTTCTTGAGTCCTAGACTCCAGCTGTCTTCTCCATATTTATGTTACATACCTCTGAAAGTAAACATATGCTGCTCACAGAGAAAAAGGGCTAAATCCAAGGCACGTCTATGCCTTTTGTAAGAAGAGGAAAGAAAGATGTACTGAGTGCTCACTACACATCTCGTGCTGTCCGTGGATGTGAAATGGAGCTTCAGATACATTTATAATTCAGGAAATATTGTCTCACTTTTCCTCAGATGGAGAAACGAGCACGTGGAATTTGAGTCATTTGCCCGTGTTGTCATAGAACAGAGCAGCGCAGATGGGCGTACTGGGCTTTATTTGACACTGTGTGTGACTGGGTTTGAGAAAAGAGAAGCTCAGGATGAGGTGAAACATGTGTGTGATGGTGCTGGAGACTCCCACACCTCTCAGGACCTCAGTTACCTTAAATGAAGGATCTGGACTAGATGGTCCCCAAGATCTCATCTGCTTGAGCCTTTGTGATTACATTCATCTAGGCTTTACCACTTACCATGAAACCTGTCAAGTCATTAAACTTCTATGGGCTTCACTGTCTTCTTCTGTGAAATACCTCATCTAACGTCCATGTCCCACATGCGGAAACTCAGACGTTATAAAGGGCCATACAGATGTAAACTGATGTGATTACTGTTCACCCCAGTCAGCTGGCAAACCCGCAGGCCCCCTCAGCTCCCCTCACCGGGTTTCCTTGCTCATTCTTTACAGGCAGGACTCAGGCCATCCAAGGTTCCATAACTTTCCTGATCTACATCTCTATAAATGTCTTACCTCTCCTCTTTTATTGCTATTTTAAGAAAATAAAAAGGAAAGACATGTTCTGCAAGTAACCTGTCCTGGCTTGCCCACAATCTCTCCTCCTATGGCTCCTTTTCCATAAAACATCCCCCTTGGCATTTCATTTGTTCTGTCTTCCTAGATGCTTGCATATGCCCGCCAAACGACACTCACTGAGACTGTGCTAACTCCTCACGCTCTCTCCCTCTTGCCCCCTTTCTTGAACCACATTTCTTGAAGGAAAGAATCCTTTCGTCCCAGTGATCACCCCTTCAATGCCCACTCACTCTTTATAATTTGGATTCCATTCCCTCCACTTTGTTTTTTGTTTATTGTTTGTTTTTGTTTGTTTTTAAATCCTCACCCGAGAATTTTTTTTCTGTTTATTTTCAGATAGAATGGGAGGGAGGGAGGAGGGAGGAGGGAGGAGGGAGGGAGAGAGAGAGAGAGGGAGGGAGGGAGAGAGGGAGGGAGGAGGGAGGGAGAGAGAGAGAGAGATCCATGTGAGGGAGACACATTGATTGATTGCCTCCGGCATGACCCGGACCAGGGCCAGGGACTGAAGAGTAACCGAGGTACAGACCCTCTTTGGTCCCCAAGGCCATTCTCACCACTTTGCTAAAACTTTTCTCCCAGGTGTTTAGCAACCTGGGTGCCTTTCAGCTTCTCATTAGCATTTAAGACTGCTGGATTTTGTCCCTTTCTCTGGAAATCATCTCTTAGTTTCTGAGGTTTCCTACACTGATCATCGGATTGTTAACTTCTGTTTTATTCGCTGTTTTGTATTCTTGTTGACTCAAATATATAAATTTTTCCAAATTTTAAACCAGGTTCTTTCATCTTCCTTATTCTTTCAGGCAGGTTGATCTATGCTCATGGCCTTGGCTGTGAACTCTAGGTAAGCGATTTTAAGTTATTTATTTATTTTTATTTATTTATTTTTTATCCTCACCAGAGGACATTTTTCCATTTTTTGTTCAGGTAGAGTGGGAGGGAGAGAGAGGAACAGAGAGAGAGAGAGAAACATCGACGTGAAAGGGACACATCGAGTGGCTGCCACCCGCACAACCAACCAGGGCCGGGGACAAACTGCAACCGAGGTACGTGCCCTTAGCGGGAACCGAACCCGGGTCTCTCAGGACCGCTGAGCCAAACCGGTCAGGGCGCGATTTTAAGTTAATACTAGCGAGACTTTTAGCCCCGCATGCCACCTGTTCTTAAGTGTCCGACTTGTATGTCGACCTCATTATATTTCTAGTGGAGTACATAGCAGTGTGCCTCCCAAACCGATTCCTCTTTCATATTCCTTGTAGATCTTCTCAGGCCTGACTACAACCCCCAACTTCTCCCTGGCCTTCACTCTGGTTCTCTTCATTCTTGTGCATTGCTCCTATTAATGGTCTCATGATCCCCACTGAGATGGAGTCCTCACTAAATATTCTGCCCTTACCCTAGCCCTCTAATTTATCATATGCAGCATTCTCAGGTTAGCCTACCGAATACAGCATTATAGTGACATTATTGTGCTGCATACGACTGTCCAATATTTAGTGTTCTTGAGGAACCGGCCCCAAGGTGTCTATGAACTTATTTGTCACAAAGCATCTTCCAAATACCTTTACACAGCCTCACCCTCGCCTGTTGAAACGGCTCATAGTTCCCTGTGAGTACTGCTTTTGCTCCTCACTCTGTGTACCTGGCCTCTCCTCTACTTCCAGAGCCACCTACTAATACCCTTCCTTCCATGGAGACTTCCCCGACTCTCCTCAGAAGTAGTCACTCCCTTTTCCAGACTCCTACAAATGTGTCTTCAGACCCTTCCTATACTCTGCCTTGTGTGATGAATATTTTGTATAAGGCACATCTTCTGTAGTAGAAGCTAACCCAGACCAGGATCTGTGTGGCTTCTTTGAGTCTTCTCCTGGCCCCTAACAATGCCTGTATATGGTAGCTCCTCAGTAAAATGTTGGCTGAATGAAAGAATGAATGAATGGGCAATTGTTGTTTCTGGGAACCAGACTGAGTCTATCTATTCCAGAGATATTTATGGACATAACCATCACGCGGTATCTGTGCCACTGCTCTGGTTCTAGAGATCCAGCTCGGAAGGACACGAGATTTGTGAATCAAGTGGGATCTCTTGTCACCCAGAGGCCCCCACCTCGAGCTCAACATTCAACTCCAACACTCTGGGCTGATCACATCTACCTTTCAGTGTCATTTCACGCTGACACAGCCTATTACTGCTCCACTGAACTGGATGTCTGAGAGTTTGTTTCCTTGGGCCAGGCTCTCTGGTAAACTTCTCATTAAACAATGAAGAAAAACATGGTGGACTGCTTCTCGGTAGCGCGCATGTATTTTAACCACGCTCTTGGAGAATCAACAATCGGATACTTGCAGTTTAACTTATAAAGCATTCAGGCAACAAGAGTAGCAAGGAACAGGGACAGAGTAACAAGGAACAAGGAAAAGTATGGAACAAACTTTTAATGGTCCTAAATATATGCCTATGGCTAGAATTGATGCTAAAAAATTGTCTTACTAAAATATTTCTATCATAGGAGTCTGGGGATAGAAGACGGGATAACTAAAACATGATAGAGAAATAATCCACTTCCTAATAATAGTGACACATTATTATATTACTAGTCATATATTATTATCATAGTTATTATTATCATTCTGAAAATTCACACAAATAGCTAGCTAGCATCACTTGAGTGCCTCCTGACTAAAACATGTGTGGACATGTGGCTTGTCTTGCACGTTCCCTTTGCTCCTCACAATGTAGCTACAATGATGCATTATCCTCCATTTACAGATGAACTGACTGAGGTGAAGCTGGTAGTGGTTAAGCACTTGGGTGAAGATCACACAGATAGAATGGCAGAGCCAGCTATGTTCAAGAACAACAGGAAATGAGAATCAAATACAGCACCCATTTTAAAATAAAAAGATATAAAATAAATATTAATAGCTCTATAAAATGATGTCTAATTCCCGGAACTTACGTATGTCACGGATATACATAGCAAAGCAATGTACTTACTCTCTGTCGATTACGAGGCAGGTCACAGCTTCTGCGGCTATTACGTTTGCTGTTCGCACGTCCTCCCTACACAAAACACAGAGAAACATTGAAGTAAAATAACCTTTAATGCTGAAGAAAAGTGTTCATTGTGATTCATTCGGGAAACCTATTAAATTATGCATACTCTTCCGGATTTAAGCTTTGCTCATTTTTCAAATTTCTTTGTCCTGAGGATCTACCTTATTCTTGTCATGAATTCAGCACATGATTTTTACAGTTATAATTCAAGGGCTACAATCTTCAAACTTAAAGTTTCACTTATACAAGTGAAACAAAATTTCATATCATCATTCCCTATGCTCATTGGGGAATTAATAAATTAATTACATAATGATAAAGACAGTCATAAACATGGGCAGGTGAAATTTTTTAATGAGTGAAAATATATTTCTGGAGTTGGAGAATCCAATTAATATGTGCGTGAATTTATCATTATAACCTTGATAACAACTGACCTGTTTCGATTATTTCCTCACTTCGGAGACCCTGCTTTTATGGGGGTAACCTTTTGGCAACATCTAGTATATAGTTAGTCATCTATGCCAGAACTTGTGGTTCATCAAGAGTATTTTACCAGTTATCATCACAGTGACTGCAATGTTTATATAACGTCTTCCTAATAATAATAATATATTATTATGTCATTAGAAGCTTCTAATTGGTCACCATATAGAATATCTATCAATCTCTTAAACCTGTCAAAATCTGCCCTGATATCTCTGTCTTATCCAGGGTCAAAGGTGGATTTGGTAAATTAGCATTCACCCTTCATTTTGAGCTATAGTAACTACTTAATCGTACCACTGTCATAAAAACCTAAGTTATACTTGAAAATGTACTCTTTCCTAGAAAGGTAAATTTTCTAAGTTAATATAATTAATGATGAATATTTGTTTGACATACATTACAGAGATATGGACATAGGAAATAATATAATGTTAACACATTTTAAAAAGCATAATTAAAACATTATCTGTCTCTAATAACAGAATAGAAAAAATAACAGTCTTAAAAATAAAGATATTTCCAGTGGATTTTTTTTTTTCTTCAAAATACAGAGTTCTCGCATGTAATTCTGAACTCTGTACTTTGTCCACCGGTCTTTTCTCTTTCATTACACCACGCTGCTAAGATCACTGTTGCTTTATAGTAACTATTTTGCACTTAGTATTTGGTAAAGCAAGTTTCCCCCTGCTAAAATTCCTTTTCAGAAATTTCTTGATGATATTCTTCAACATTCATATTTCATACAGACTTTTAAATTTTTTTTCCTCTTCTGAAAAACCCACATTGGGACTCTGGTAAGGTTGTATTACATTTATACATTGATGTCAGAAAAAGGGCTTTCTGATTATATTAATTTCCCTACTTGTTCAGAAGTAGTTTATTTTTGTCCCTAAATAAGATTTCCTAATTTTTTTACTTGGATCATAGCATTTAAATTTTATCCTCACCCGAGGACATATTTGCATTTATCTTCAGATAGAGTGGGAAGAGAGATAGAAACATTGATGTGAGAGAGACACATTGACTGGCTACCACCCACACGACCCTAACCGGGGCCAGGAATGAACTGCAACCGAGGTACGTGCCCCTAGCAGGAACCAACCCCAGGACTCTCTGGTCCATGGGCTGAGCTCTAACCACTTAGCAAACTGGCCAGGGCTGGATTATAGCATTTTTTAAAATATGTTTTTATTAATTTTTTTAGAGAGAGAGAAAGGGAGACAGATAAAAACCTCAATGTGAGAGAGAAACATCGATCGGTAGCCTCTTGCACGCCCCCTATTGGGGACTGAGCCCACAGCCTCGGCATGTGCCCTGACCAGGAATTAAACCAGGACCTCTCAGACCGTGGGTTGACATTCAATTCACTGAGCCACACCTGCTGGGCATCCTAGGATTTTAAAAACAGTATTCTTAGGTATTTTTTGTTTTTTTGCTTTTCATCATTATTTTCTCTTATGAATGACATTCCTTTCCCATTTCTATTTCTCATTGGTCATTACTTATGAAACAAAAACCATATTGATCATTGTATATTTTTAACCTACCTACCATACTAAGTTCTCTTGTGACTGTAAAATTTCATTATCCTCTCCACAACTGCCCGTATCATCGTCCCAGTGCCTCCCTGACATTCTCCACCTGCCAGCCACACTGGCCTCCTTTGCATTACTGAACACCTCTCCCCTAACATACCTTCCCTAAGCCTAGGGATTTGTCAACTCCTTGCCTAGCTCACCCCGATTACCCGCTAGATCTCAGCCTATGTGCCCCTTCCTCGGGAAAGGCATCTGAAGGAACTAGAACAGGTTCCCTGTTTACTAGGTCTCATGGCCTTATGCACCTCTTTGTCCAACCACCTATCACTGTTTATAATTTATACATGTATTTGCTCAATGACCCTATGTTTCTCCAACAAAACCACACAAGGGCAGGTTCCAAGGCCAGTTTTGCTCCCCATCTTATCCTAAATGGCTGGCACCTAGCAGGTGCTTGGGAAGGGTGAGACAGGGATGGCAGAGTTCAGACTTTGGAGTCCCACCGTCTTGGTTTTATAAGACAAGCTACAAGCTGCATGAGGGCTCAGCTTTCTCGTCTGTAAAACTGGGGATGGTAAGACCACCCCCTCATTGTGTGGTATTAAATGAGATAATCAAAGACTCGTTTACCGTAATGCTCAGCACAGAGAGAGCAATGTGTTCTGCTACTTATTGCTTCTGATTCCCCTATCACCAACCCTGTCATGTCTGTCCCTTGGAGCACCGTGTTTTAGGAAACATTCCTACACAAGAACAAAGCACGGGTTTTCTTTTTGCTCCATAGAAGTAGACAGTATGTTTTCAACTTCCGTATCACTTTCTGCGTGGGGATTTTTGGTGAAGTGGACACAAGTAGAAAATGTCAGTAATGCCCATCAGGTTTTCCATAACTGTGTCAGTGGCTTATTTCTGAGGTGGCTGCTCATGGTAGCAAAGATCACTGAGAATTGCTGCCAGTGTAGAAAAATGATGACAAAAAAATACCCCATCACAGCTTTGTAGAGAACAGCGTGTTAAACCTCACTTTCCCGAAAACGTATTTCTATCTTGGCAATTTAGAAACCGCTCATGCTCTTTCAAAGTATAATATATACACAATAATGCTTCTTCTTGATAATATTTTTTGTGCATATAACTTTTAAAAACTATTTCATTACACATTTTCAATGTTTTAAAGCTTCATATTATTATCTGGCCTAACTTAGATATACTTTTGAAAATGAATGCAGTTTTCATGTAACAGCAAAAAATACATAGATCTTTTTAAATGTAGAAAGGGGAAAAATCATAGATCAGAAGAGTGATGTAGTTAACAGCAATAGAAAATATTTTATTTTAAAAAGGAAAATGTGTAAGTTATAGCCTACAGTGAGGCTTGGCACCTAGTAAAGTGACATATATCCAAACAGAGGAGAAGCACAACATGGAGGAAAACAACATATTAAACAAGAGATGATAATATTTTCTAATTAATGAGCATCTAGTATATCTCAGGAACTATATTAACTCACACAAATCTCATTTACTGCATCTAACAGAAGGTGGGTATTCTATCCCAGATTTACACGAGGGGATAAAGGTTAGGTGACACACCCAAAGTCAGACATAGCAAATGAGTTGCAGCCCTGGAATAGATCTGGCTGGCTCCAAAGTCGATGTTCTCTCCACAACAGTCCACTGTTGATACACTCTGCTATCGTATTTTTAAATTACACAACAGTTCTAAATTAATTTAATGCAAGATAACTTCTGAGTAGCAAGTAATCATAATGTCTGTTCATCATTATAAAATATATTTTATTGTTAATAACAACAGTGTTTATCTGTTTATGAGTACCCAACTGGAAAGCTAATTCAATAAACCATTTTAATTGCCAAACTACCAGAATTTCTATCCATGGCTATTTCCTAGCCCTGTTATGATACTTTATAATAATGCTATGTAAAAATCGCAAATTATTCAATACCACGTTCGTTCAATGCCCAGCTCATGTTGCCATTACACTGTCATTGTACCTCTATAAGGTGCTTAATGCCATTATGCAAGTCCATGCAGGTCTATAATGCCATCCCTGTGTTCTCAGAGAGCCTGCTCCTATAAAAGATCATATACTGTCTTACCTAGTACTGATATATATATACCCCTTATTTTATGGGAGACAGTAGAAATTTGTAATGAGAGAATATTACTCATGTAAGGTGACAATACTGTGACTTACTGTGTATGCTTATTTTTTTTTTTTGTAGCTCAAAGGACCATGATAAAGCAAATATCATTTGGTTTCACATATAAAATATTGCATACTCATATAATACAGAGGTCCTAATAGCTTCATGCTGTTATTAAACTTATCTCTATTCATACATAGCTGTTATGATACTGGTTTCCCACAGAACTTTGGCTAAGTTAGCAGGGTTTTTATGTAATATGGGATTAGACAAGGGAAAAAGGAAGAGAAAGAGAGGTGGTATTATTTTTTTAAAACTAAGCTTTGTTTCCGTTCTAGTTTTTGGCAGAGTAAGGTATTTGATGATTTCTAATAGACAAATATATGAGATTTTTGGAAGAAAAAAAAAAAAAAAAACACTGACCATGAGAGAATTTTATAACTAGAGTTATAAGATAAGGTAGAATATACTTAACTTTCATCAAACACATGTTGCTTGAACTCACAGTACATTTCTTTATAGGAAGTAAATGTAAATGTATCTTATAACAGTCCAGGCCTAACATGCACATTGTCTTTAAAAATCAAGTCTCATATTCACCCATTTCTGTACCAGTGTTAGTTGATTTTACCATGACAATTAACAAGCATGCACTATTGCAGAAATAGCTACTGTTTGGCAGATTAACAGACATTTTACAAAGTTGCTATTGATTAATGAATAATTACTGTCCAAGCAATGCAGTTTAGTGTTGTTCTCTTTTTAAGCATTTTTGGAGGAGTTAGAAATTCCCTTCAATGAAATCATAGA